GGGATGGTTTCAAGAGACCATGGGAGGAGAAGGGGAAAAGTCAGACTTCATGGTGAATGGTCTCCATTTTCTTGGTAAAGTATGAGATGTGTTCTTCAGTTCAGAGGATAGAGGGAATGGCGCCATGAGAAATTGGAAGAGAGAAGAGAAGGTTTGGAACAGTCACAGTAGAAGTGTCAGATGGGAGAGAAGTTATGAGGGCAGAATCAGTGAAACTTGAGATCGCTTGAATGTAGAAGCTGATGGAGAGAGGAATACTATATCTTTAAAATGAGGACACAGACCTAGATTTTTCCAAAGGTCCTCACTAGCTTTAACAATCAATAAATCCTAGAAGCCTTTCAGTAATATGGAGCTCATTATTACCTCACTCCACTTTTAGGTAGTTCTAATCCTTAGGATATATCAACTCCTATAAGTAGGTTCAATTCTGCCTGAGACTCTAGGACCAATCCTAACCCTTGTCTGGGGAAATTCAAAGAGACAAAGGTGATCAATTTTTCAAATTGGTTCAAGTCAGTCTTGGAAACTGTGTTTAGCCAACTTGGTACATTGGTCCCAGGTCTTCCTGGCTTCCTGACAAGCTCTCTATCCACTACGCCATATTTCCTCTTTGTAAAACTAGATCTTCCATGCTGTTTAGTTTCAGTCCTGCATTTCCAAATATTGGAATATAACATATTTAAATATAACATAAGATAAATAATTTTGTTTTTGCCTTTGTATCCTTAGCATCCATCACAATTCCTTTCAAATACTAGGTACTCCATTTGAATTCTCAAGATGACTCCCAGATCTATATATTCAATCCTCTATCTATATATTATATACAACAAAATATTTATATATTCTCTTTCCTGAGCACCAGTCTCACATTGCATAGAACTCATTGAACGTTTTGGACTAAATCACACATAAGCATCTCAACTCAATATAGACAAAACAGAATTCATTATTTATGTTTGTATCTCAAGTCTCTGTCCTACGCCCTCTTTTCTCTATATATTTGCTCATTTTCTGTCAGGTTCCAGGGGTTCAATTGTCCCTATGAAGATGGATTCCCAAATCTATTAATCTGGCCCTAGTCATTCTCACTGCCTATTGGATACTTCAAACTGAATGTTTTGTAGGCACCTCAAATCCCACATGTCCAAAACAAATCTCATTTCCTTTCTTTAAAATTTTTTATTCTTAACTTAACAAACATCAAATAAGATGACTGATTGCAGAAAGAGAGGATCACAAATACAGTTGCCAATCTGGCCCACATACAGCTTGCTTTTCTCTTATTGTATACAATAAATTCAACATGTTATTTTCAAAGCTGTCATGCTTGTCTACATTTCCTACTGATCCTTCTCCTATTCCTTTCTATGCATTTGAAAAAAAAAACCTCAATCATTTTTCTTAGACTCAGAGCAAGTCTTACTGTCTTCATGAAGTCTTCCTTAACTCTTCAAAATAGCACTTATAATTTACATAATAAAAACTGGCACTTGATTTCATACTATTTTGCACTATCTGATAATTGTGTAGCTAATTGTAGTAATCCCTCTCCAAGAGATTAGATTCTAAGCTTTTTGAAGACAGGGACCATGTCCCATGAGAGAATGACTCACCTAAGGTCACATGGGTAATAAGTAGCAGAGTTAGGATTTAAAGCTTGAATCCATGATTCTGGACTCTGGTCTTTCCTGTATACCATCCTACCTCCCTTAGCCTTTTAAGGTACTTTCCTCAAAACAACTCTATATGAAGGTCTTCCATAGAAATCCAGTTTCTAGCCACCAACCATTGCTAATCACTTTGTCTTTTCTTGCTGCGGATCAGAAATTGTCTACTTGCATCTACTACAATATAAAAACATCACTAAAACTATATTATATACTCCTAAATCTGTATAAAAATTGAGTCACACAGCAATTAGTGTGGGTTGGACACTATCATTTCTATGAAACTGAATTAGAAATAGGTAACAAAAAATAGGAATAAGTGAACACTTTTTTGGATAGAGAATTGTGAACAGTAGAGTAGGTTCCCTAGAACATAATGCAGTGACAAGTATTAATCTTAATAAATAAGCTAGGAAAGTTGTATACACTGAAATTGATAGAATTTCATATGGCACTGGTTAATGCTATGCCATTTTAAAGGGGAGGAGTGATAGAGATATAATAGCTTTCAAGATGGTATGAGGCAAGCTATAGTATGAGCAAGTGTGGGAGTACTACATTTGGATGCAAGTCATCCAGATTGTCCTCATAGTGGCCAGACTGTAAGCACTCATGAAAACACTGGGCATAAATATAGGAATCACTGGAGGTAAAAGCTCAGTGGCCAGTGTGGTATAGGACATATTCAGGGATGGATTGGGACTTACTCATGGACACTCTTTCCCCATTGCCCAGCCCCGAGTATGGCTTCAACTGGGATCCTTGGTGTAAGTATGGCTCTGTCCCTCATGGGTGACAAAGCATGGCTGGAGAAGGTTGAAGATCTGCTATAGTGAGTGAGGGGGTGGAAACTGCTGTATGAGGCTAGACTAGAACGGTTCAGTCTTTTACTTCTGAGATGTAGGCTAAGAAATACCAGGATCCAAGTCAGGGATGTCTTTAAGGGGATTCCTGGACTAGATGGCTTTGGAATTCCCTTCCAACTCTAACACTTTGTGATTTTCCATATTATAGATAAGAAACTGATGGCCAAAGAAATTAAGTGACTTGATCAAGCTCCCATAGCTAGGAAAGGGTAGAGCTGAGATTTTAGCTAGATCCTTCTGAGTCAGATCCAGTGATCATTCCATTAAATGTTGCTGTCTTCTGAGTGCTCCATAAACACTTAAAGACTGAAGCTAACTAACCCCTCAAGCTTAGAGAAAAATTAATATAACACTCCCTATTGGTTGAGGAGCTGTTAGATTTAATTGGTAGCTGGTCTAAAAGGAAATAATTTTTTAAAACTATTATCTAAGATACCTAGGTAGGTCTGCTTTAATCATAAAAGACCATTATTTGGTGATATTGCTTTTGAAATTTCACAACCTCACTAGAGAGTTAACATAGATTATATGGTGGAACAAGCATAGGACCTGGAGTTGGGGGAGCCTGATTCTAATGCTTACTCTACCAGCTGAATGACCTTGGGTATTCAGCTTTTAAACTCTTTGGGTTTCAAATTCCTTAGCTTTAAAATGACAGTTTTACTACATACCCCATAGGGTTGTGAGGAAAATGCTTTGTAAACTTAAAAGTACTTAATAAGTGTGAGGTATTATTGTTAAAACTTGTGTAAATGGAGGCTGAGGTAGAGATTAGTTAATTAAGTCTATAAGACTTAAGATGAGAATACTATGTGTGGGTAAGAGAAAATCTTGGATTTGGATTGCTTTCTGTTTCCATGTAGCTCAAAAGAGTTTTCCAGTCCTGTAGGAATCTTGGCTGGAAAAATCTCTTTCCAATCAAATTTAATGGCATTTTTGCTTCTGGCAACAGCAACATCTGTTCCTGAAAGATCCTGGCAGCTTAGAGAACAGGTGTACAAATGCATACCAAATAAAGGTAAAGCCTTAATTTGATATTTCACAGCCACAAAAAATGCTTAGTTTTGAGCGAAGTACTATAGAATTGTGTAATTAAAAGAGAAAATGCATGAAGAGGCAGAAGACTTGGATTCTCTTACTTCTTTAGACAGTTTTAAGTAAGGGAGAACCAATGGACAACTTCTGTTCCCCATTGGAAGATTCCAATGGAGCATAAAGGGATCTAGAAGAATATCTCTAGAAGACTGGGCAGATATTCTATGGAACATTTATCCTTGTATCCTTAGCAGCTACGGCAATGGCCGACGCGTAAAAGGTACTCAATAAATGTTAACTGAATGGAATTGGTGAATTTACAGGAGGACATAAGTGAGAGTTGTATAGGATGGGCAGGCATGAATGAGTTCTGATTGCATTACACGACAGAGGACCTTCATTGAGAGCGTCATAGATCTATCAAAAGGTCAGAGTTGATAGCATCATAGAACTATCAAAGATTATGTAACTTGGGAAGATTGTAAGCCTCAGTCATCTAAACAATGACAATAATGAAGCAAATAATAAATTAGATGAAAAAAAGATCTTGGTGGGCTGGAGTACTTTGAGAAAATGTCATTGAGTGGGTGAGACTCCAGGGGGAGACCTGTGTATCCTATCCTAAAGACAAAAAGGGCCCCAGAATTCACATTTACAGAGCCACACCTGGATGGTGGTGCTATGGGTTCCACTCACATTTTCTTTCCTGAGTCTAGACCTGATGAGAAATTCAGTTCTGAGACTGGTGCAGCCAAAAGCTGGAAGGAATCTGGGGCTGAGTTTTTGGACTGGAGGCATTTTAATTATTTCCTGCAGGTTGGCAGAATTTATTTTCCAGAAGTGTCTCGATATATTTAAACAACTTCATGGACTCATATGTATCCATTCCATACAGTTTTTTTTAAATTTGCGCTCAGGTTTTTGAATTTGAACATCTTATATGCTCTAAGTCTTGCAGAACTGCCTTTAGCTGAAACTCAGATTGCCTTTGCCTTTTGGCTTATATTTTGGGATAATGATGTGAATAAAAATATTTATGTTTGTTTAGTTGATATGGTGCATTAAAAGGTACACAAACTAGTTGAGAGACAAGACACAAAGCATTGCATTTGATCATCACAACTACTTTGGGAGGTAGGTAACATATTCATTTTTATTCTACTTCATATTTGAGGAAACTGAGGCTCAGAGAAATGAAATTAGTTGCCTATGGTTGCATGGATGATATAAAATATATGTGTGTATATATATATATATGTGTCTATATTTATACACATGTATATATGTATGTATGTATGTATGTATGTATGTATGTATGTATGTATGTATGTATATATGTAATTCTGAAGCCAAAATTCCAACCTAGTTCAAAAGAGCACAGGATTTAGAATTAAAATTCTTATCTCCTTTATTAATTTTTTCCTAGAGTTCTTTACCTGGCTCTGGCTTTACCATAGCCCAATCTCAAAGGATTATAATCTAATTCAATGAAATAAATACCTGGTAAGCATTTACTATTTGTAAGACACTATTGTAGGTGTTGAGGTTATAAAGGTTAAGATAAAAATGAAACAGTTCTTGCCCCCAATGAACTTTCATTACTTTACGGGCAGGGGCATGAATGTGGGGATGTTATATAACATGTCACAGATAAATACATGGCAATTTCAATATGGAGAGAGTACTCACTTATTACTGGGCAAGGAGGCAAGGTTTTAGATAGGAAGGGACACCTGAGTTGATCCTTCCTTGAAGGAAGCCAAGGACTCTAAGAGGCGGAGGAGAGTAGGAAGTACATGCCAGGTATTAGGGGACAGCTTGCCAGTGTAAAGACTCTGAGATAGGAGATGGCATGTCAAGTATGAGGAAGAGCAAGCTGGCCAGTTTGGCTGGAAAATAGACTATAGGAAATCTGTTAATAAGAAATACATTTGGAAAGATATGTAGGGGCCAGATTGTGAGGGTTTTAAGGACTAAGCGGAGGTATTTGTACTTAAACCTAGAATTAAAAAAAGAGTTATTCTAGAGAAGGGAATTTTGAGTGACATGGTCAGACCTATACTTTAGAAATATTATTTAGGCAACTGGGTAGAAGATGAATTAGACAGAGGGGAGAAACTAGAACCGGCCATGATATTGCCTCTTTATAATCTGGGAAATTATAATATCGACCAACATCACCGTATGTGAAAACAGTTTGCAGAGTATAAAACTCTGCAGAAAAGTAAAGAATCGGTTTTGTGAATATAGGCATACCTTGTTTTATTGCACTTCACTTTATTGTGCTTCACAGACATTGCATTTTTTTTCCTTTCACAATTGAAGGTCTGTGGCAACTGTGCATTGAATAAATCTATTGGCACATTTTTCTAACAGCATATGCTCACATCTCTGTGTCACATTTTGGTAATTCTCTCAATATTTCAAACATTTTCATTATTATTATATCTGTTACGGTGATCTGTAATCAGTGATCTTTGATGTTACTATTGTTATTGTTTTTGGGTACCACGAACCATGACAAGTACAACAGTGAACTTAATCGAGAAATGTTGTGTGTGTTTTGGCTGCTTCACTAACCAACCGTTTCCTTGTCTTTCTCCCTCTCCTCAGGCCTCCCTAGTCCCCGAGACACAACAATGTTGAAGAATTTTACATATACTTAGTTGATAAAGCAGTGCAAGGTTTGTGAGGATTGACTCCAAAATACTATCAAACAGCATCACGTGCCACAGAGAAATTTTTCATGCAAGGAAGAGTCAATCAATGCAGCAAACTTCATTGTTGTCTTACTTTAAGAAATTGCCACAGCTACCCCATTCTTCAATAACTACCACCCTGATCAGTCAGCAACCATCAACATCGAGGCAAGACCCTCCACCGACAAAAAGTTTATGACTCACTGAAGGTTCAGATAACGGTTAACATTTTTCTTATAGTAAAGTATTTTTTAATCAAGGTATGTGCATTTTTAAAGACATAATACTATTGCACACTTAATAGACTATAGTATGATATAAACATAACTTTTATATGTGCTAGGAAACCACAAAATTCATTTGCCTCACTTTGTTGTGATATTTGCTTTATTGTGGCAGTCTGGAACTGAACCCACAATATCTCCAAGGTATGCCCATATAGATTAGTCTGTAAAGGACCACAATATGCTACATTTTGAAGGTGACTATTTGCAAAGCCAGTTTGGAGCTCACACAGAGGAAAGGAATGGGGATGAGGAAGGACTGAGTCTCTGCTAAATGGAAATTGGCTGAAGAAACCAATGGTTGGTTGGACTTAGGAGAACCTGATAACTGTCTTCAAGTATTTGAAGAGTTCACATGTGAGAGAGGATTAGATATTTTTTGTAGGGGTAGGGACACTGGAGAACAGAACAAGGAACAATAGATAGAAGTTGAAAAGTGATAAAAAAAATTAGGTTCAAAAGCTGGAAAAAACAATTTTCTAACCATTAGAGCTATGCAAAAGTGGAAAGGACTTTCTTGGAAGGGAGTGGATTCCTTGAGTGAACACTTGCTTGGGGATATTGTACAAAGGGTGTATATGTATATTGAGGTAGGGTGCACTAGAGCACCTCTGAGGTCCCTTCCAAGTCAGAGATTCTGTGATTCGGTGCTTAGCAGTTTGCCTATAACTTGGCATTATGATACGTCCTTACTGAAGCAATGGATTCTCCGAGGGAAAGGCAGCCTTCAGGGGCAATGTCTGAGATGTTAATGTCAACAGCATATGCGTAACATTCATTCTGGGTCAGGATTCCTTTGTGGTGCTCTCTTGTAATCCCAGGCACATGCATGCATTTTTTTTTCTTTCTTATTTTACATATGAGTAAACTGAGGCTAAGAAAGTTTAAATGACTTGCTCAGAGGTCTCATAGCTAGTAAATATCTAAGGTAGCTAACATATGGGCAGGGATTACCTAGTGAAAGGAAATAACTAGAGATCTTTTTTTAAATTTTAAAAATATCAGAATTATGCTATTTTTCACTTTCATTTTTTTTGTCTTCTTGTGCAAAATGACTAATATGGAAATGTTTTTACATGGTTGTACGTATATAATCTATATTGGATTGCTTAAGTCTCAGGGTTGGGGAGGGGAGAGAGGGAAGGATGGATAGAATATGGAACTCAAAACTTTTTAAAAATGTAAAAAAATGCTTTAATACATAATTGGGGGAAAATAAAATATTATTTTAAAACTATCTATGCAAATCCATACACATTTATTAGTATCAAGGAATTTTGCATGGTCTTAGAGATAAAATGACAAAATATGACACAGTCCTGACCTTGAAGGAATTCATTATTTCTTAGGGAAATATATACGCAAGCAAATAAATATAATACAATGTAGAGAGTGATGGAAAAAAAGGAAATTTCACAAAAAGAGCTTACTTTGTACTGGGCCATCCCAGAGGGTTTCATGGACAAGGTGGAGCCTAACCTGGCCCTTGAAGACAGTGATTTCCAAAAGCAAGAATGAGGAGGGAGGGAATTCCAGACACAAAGTAGTAACAGTTCTGAAATCAGCTTTCCAAATTTTATGCAACTAGTCAAGGACAAAGTTATGGGAAAGTGGAAAAGGGCAATCACTTTAGGATTACTTCTGGAAACCAAGGGACATAGAAGACATGGAAAGGTGGTGTGGTAGTAGATGACTATCATGAAATTTGCTGGAGAACCAGCAGGTGTCTGTGGGAGGAAAGGTCAAATATTGTCAAAGAAGATATTGGTCCAAAGAGAAAGGAAATTTTGTAGATGATTGTTTCTAATGCGAAAAACTGGACAGACTACAGATCCATAAAAATGATAAGATTTTAGACTGGAGGGGATCTTATTGATAATTTAGTTCAATCTCTTCTTTTTACAGATGAGAAAACTGAAATCCAAGGAAATTAAGTGAATGAATGAATGGCCCGAGGCCATCTAGGTAATGAGTAACACAGCCAGGATAGTGACCACTGATTCCAAATCCAGTCCTCTTTCCAATATTGATTTTATTTTTAGTGGTACAAATTTTAAATTCCTAGAAGACATGAACTACATATTAAAAAATTTTTTGTGTATAACCTGATTCCAAGACAGATGGAGATGTATGCTTTTGCAATGCTGCTTCTAAGGATGATCACACTTTTTTAGACAAGTAAATAAAAAATGCTCAGACTTACACACTGTGTGGTGGTGATGATGACAAAACTTGAGATGAAAGTAAGGCCGTCATTCATGCTGACCTGGAGTGCGGCTTTCCTGCAATGAAAATAGAGCATGCACAGATATTTTTCATGCGAACACTGGAAAGACCTTTGGATAAGAATTATGAAACCTGAATTCTAATTCCTGTTCTGCAATTAAGCTAGCTATGAAACTGTGGCAAAATCATTTGGCCTCAGTTTCCTTTTTTTTGTAAATTGGGGGAATGAGACAAGATTATGTCTAAAGCCACTCATACATCTCTGATATTCTACAATTCTCTTGTTATACCCAATCGTACCTCCAAAAATGGCCCTATAGCCATCATTCAGTTGTCACACTGTATTGATGTCAAATATTTGCTTCTTGAGTCACTAGCAGGGAAAAGCTATTTCTATTTTACTTATTTTCCACAAGTCAGGAGGGCATGATACTTCTTAAAAGAATCTCAACTCCGCACATCATTGGCTTTATGTTCTACCTATAATTTCAACAATATACCCAGGGTTATTGTATCATCATTAGGGTTTTTTGAAGAGGATATTCAGGAATAAATTGGCCAATTTGGTCTCTCACTGCCTCTTGCCTACTTTAGGCCAACAGCCATTTCTATCATTTGAGTTAGAGAAGTTTGCTTTTTCACTCTGTGTGTGTGTGTGTGTGTGTGTGTGTGTGTGTGTGCACATTATAAAGATCAAACACTGGCTAATATTCCCAGTATGAAAAGACACCCAGTAAGTCTATTAGCTGGGAGTCAAATAGTAGAAGGCTAGAGTTGGAAGGGACCTCAGTTCAACCCCCTCATTTAACAGATGAAGAAATAATCTCTTATTAATACTTTTGTTGCCAATAATTTGCTCTAAGTAGGCAGCTAGATGTATAGTAGATAGAGAGCTGAACCTGGAGTCAGAAAGTCTTGAGTTCAAATCTGACCTCAGACATTTACTGGTTGCATGACTGTAGGCAAGTCACTTAACCTCTAGTTGCCTCAGTTTTCTCATCTGTAAAATGGGGACAATAATAGCACCTATCTCCCAGAGCTGTTGTGAGGATAAAATTAAATAATAATTCATAAAACACTCTTTAAACCTTAAAATACCATATAATTGCTAGCTATTATATTATTGTTACTATTAGCAGTATATTATTATTATCACTATTACTACTAAACAATATCAATGCCCTTGAAAGAAGGAGGATGTATTTGAACTTCCACAAGTACTTGAATTTCACATCTCATGAATTTTGTGGTAAGGACCTTGGCTCAAGCAAAGCTTTCAATCACTACCTGTGTAATCTTTGACAAGTCATTCAGCTTTTCTGGGTTTCAGTTTTGTTATCATCTGGAGTTGACTTAAATGATCTGTCTCAAAGGCCCCTTCCAGATATAAATGCCTTTATTTTTGTCTAAGTAGACTGCCTCTGTGATATATTTTCTGAACCTACTCACAAACTCCAATACTGTTCTTTCTAAAGATCACTGGGCTCATTTTCTCCACATTGAGATTTTGAGCTATTTCTCATTAGTATGCACTGGAACAAAATCTCACTTATAGTCTGGGATCCAAATCTGTCTTTGCAGTTGAAAGTCGAGAAGTACACATCTCTGTAGGAACATTCAGCATTGTGTACCATAGTTCTATTTATTACCTTATGCATTCAAGACAATGATTTGCTGTAATGAATTCATTTTGCAATAGACGAGAACATGAAAAGCTTCCCCCACTTGTCTCCTTGATTGTTAATAGGATTATCTAGTTTCAAGCTGATGAGCATCTGTTAAAACTTACATGCCAACTTCTTCTAAGATGGGGGCTGGACAGAGCAAGTAAGTATCTTCCACAGTAAAAGGCTTCTTGTCTAGAAAAAGAAAAGAAGTTGTTAGAAAAAGAGTGAAAAGGTAATTCCATGTTCCTGATCTCCCAAAGTTACAAAGTATGGTCCAGCAATTTTCATGTGGGGGTTATAATATTCACCTTCTGGCAACTAAAATCCACCAGACCCAGCACTGGGTCTCCTGACTAGAATTATGCTTGTCCACTTGAACTTTAATCAATCAAGAACATGTCATGAGATCCAGAAGACTTGAATTCTAGTTCTGAATCTGCCAGTAATTCACTGAGTGGCCTGGAGTAAGAAATTTTCCCTCTCTGGTCCTCAGTTTCCTCATCTATAAAACAAGAAGACTGGATTAAATAATTGCTAAGGTTCCTTCTAGTTTTAAAATTCTGTAACTGTGAACATACAAAGTGATTTACTGAGTGCCTATCACAGACAAAGGATTGTATGAGGTGCTGTGGGGTATGTAACATCCCACGTTTGCCTTCAAGAAACTTACAGTACTTTATGAAAGACAAGGTAAATTAAAAGGAAAATTAACTAACAATAATAACAAATAATCACATTACACTGTCTTCTACCAAATTAGTTCCATAGAATGAAAATACTATAGGAATTCAGAAGAAGGAGGGCTCATTGTCATGATTAAGTTCACTGAGAAGATATATGAGTTGGGCTTTGAGTGGGCATTCTAGATGAGGGCAATAGTGTGAGAAAAGTGGGACTACAAAATGTGTGGAGCTTTTTTTTATTTGCTTGGCTTTGTTTTTTGTTTTTTGTTTTTTTTTTTAGCGGAAAGGATATTTTGTATAGAACAGTATGAGATAGACTAGGAAGTTTAGGGTCAAATTGTTGAAGGTCTTAAATATTGGACTAATGAGTTTAGATACTACTACTCTATGGCTAATAATGAGTCGTTGGAGGGTTTTGTTTAGGCAGTAAAATGACAAAACTATGCTTTAGAAAATTTAACCTAACCAAGGACTGAAGGCAGAGAAGCTGGCATTAATCAAAATAATTAAACAATTATTAAGCTCCAACTATGTGCAAAGCCGTATGTTTAGTGCTAAGAATACTAACATATAGGAAAGGAATGATCTCTGCCCTCAAAGAACTTATATTCCACAGGAAGAATGTTATGAGAGAAAAAAATTAATTAAGAACAAATGAATAATAAATAATTGGTCACAAAGTCACTGATTTATAACTATAGATTTTCAATGTAATGTATATTATGTAAATAACGGCCACTATATCTCACCTACCCTTTCTGGTGCTGCCCAAAGGGCAAAATTTGGTGTTTTGTATTATTTGCTATTTTATGATTATATTTAAAAACCATATAGTTTAATCACTTTGTTACCTGGGAGAATCTTCACTGAGTCTCAAAAGTGAGCCATGAAGTGGAAGGCTATGGGAGCCTTGCTTCTACAAGGGAGTTTCCTCTTCTCCTATAGTTCTTATTCACTTTTAGAAACAGTCTTCAGAACTACAAACTACGACATGCATCTAGCCAGATGAGTCAGTGAACACTTTTTGTGGGCCAATATTTCCACCTGCAAACCAACTTTCTTGTACTAGTCTCTGACTTTCTTTTGTCATAAGCATAGAATAGCAGAAGTTCTTGCTTACCAAGAAACAAAAGACAAGAGCTTCTCAGCAGCACAGCAAGACTACAGAATCACATTATCTTATGGGAATTTTCTATTGTTGGATTGTAAATAAATCTCACCAGCCTAAAACTTGGTCTTCAACTGAGTGGTCTTAACCAGCTAAGTTCTAAATTCAACTGTCCAGATTTCTGGGGATACATAAATGAAAATCTAGAAGCTCAGCATGGAAATCCCTTTTCAAGGGAAATAAGGTAATGTATGCTGATCAGTTAGCACAGGAATAAATGCATGTGTACATAGAATGAGTTATTCTAAGAAAACTGTACTGTCCACAGAAATCTGAAAGTATTAGGAGAGTAGGATCCATAGTGGAATCAACCCCAATTATCAAGCCATAATTTCTTCCAAAATTTTAAGCAGGTCATGTATAGATTTTAGAGCTCCTCCAGGCTAGAAAGGAGGGATGTTGAGATAAATGTATTAAGGATTAAAGACTAAGAACAGCACAATATCACAGAATGGTGTAGTGGGAAAAGAAGTGAATTTGGAGTCAAGAAATATGGGTTTGATTCCCAGCTAAGCCTCTTGTTGCCCGTGTGATCCTGTGCGAGTCACTTGACCTCTTTGGACCTCAGTTTCTTTCAGCTTTAAATCCTCTGATCTATATGTCACAGTGTGCTACATTTTTCACAATATTCTCTTGCCTATTTTCTCATTGGATTTGCCTGACAACTCTAATAGCCATCTTAGAGCAGGTAAAACATAAATAAATCAATACTCATTTTAAAAATAAAGAAATGGAGACCCAGAGAGATAAAATCAATTATGGAATTTTAACTTGAAGGAATGCCAGAGAACATGAATCCATTCTGCAACAACCCCTACGTGGCTTTCTTCTTGAAAGACTCCAATAATGGAGCGTTGAGGTGGCCATTTCCAGATCTCTCTAGTTTTTAGGATTTTTTTCCCTCACATTGAAGCACAACCTGTCTCTCTGTAACTTCTAACTATTTCCCCTAATTTTGTCCCCAAAGCAAGCACAGCAAATGTTGCTACATTTCTTGCTAAAGGAACTAACACAGCAAGTCAATGAGAGAGCCCAGTGTAGAATCAGGTCTTCTGACTTCTCGTACAATGTTCTTTCCTAAGAGAATCTTAATGTTCACAAATAAAGGAAATAGTTGTATCTGGAATGAAGAAAATGCTGGGCTGGCCAATGTTTAACCTATAACCTCAAATGCCGTTTCTTATCTATGGCATTGCTTATGATCATAGAGGATTTGACCAAGAAGGAGCCTTAGAACACAGAGCATGAAATAGCAAATGTATAAGGGAGCTTTGAACACTGAATATCAAATTAAGGAGGAACTTTAGGATATAGACCTTCTCAAATAAAAGCAGTCTGTACACCCATAAATTCTCATTCATTTAAAGATTATCTAATTCAATCTCTTCATTTACAGGTGATAAAACTGGTGCCCAAAGAAGTAAAAAGAATTCTCTAAGGTCACATGGATAGACAGTGGCAGAGCTAAGGTCCAGACCCAGATCCTCTGTACTCATTTCATTACATTCCGTTGCCTTCCTGGACTAGTCATACTTGGGAACAGAACAGTTCAGGGATTCAGGCCACAGCAGGGAGGTGCCTATGCACTCAGCTAATTCCACAGTGGTTCAACAACAGGAGTGAAATCACCCCAAGCAATATGAACTGTGGCTGGCCACAGGCAAGAGATGCAGGAGAATTGTCAAGTTTGTGTCCCAGAGTTCACACTTGAGTCTTTCATAGAACTCCAGTAATCCTCCCACCTCCCACAACAAATATATCTGATAGGAACAGCGGATTTGTGGTCAGGGAACCTCGGTTCAAATTACAGCTTGACCAGTGTATGGATTAGCATTATATTGGATTGGATTAGATTGGATTAGATGTACCCTCAACACTTTGGGTCTTGGTTTCTTCATCTGCAAAACTCTGAGACTGAGCTATATGATCTGTAAGGACCCTTCTTCCTCTAAGTATACGATTCTATGATCTTCTGATAACTAGATTTAAATTGTCTGGTATCAGTCAAGTATCCTTCTCTATCCTTCCTTCTCTCTTTATCTCTTTTTGCTGCTGACATGGATCAGCAACTGAAATTCAAATATTTCAAGAGGAAAAGAAATAAGAAGCTACTCTTGGGATATTTTTTTAAAAAAGATTATCTTAAATCTCTTTACCAATGGAAGTCTCTGCCCATTTGGATAATTTATTAGGATCCTCGCCCCAGAGATCACACATGAGCTCAGAGCTGACCTCTCCCCTTTGGAAAGAAGAGTTGTTTGCTTTAGAGCACGCATTCATTTCACCACAAAAATGAGTGGTGTGTATGTGTGTGTGTGTGTGTGTGTGTGTGTGTGTGTGTGTGTGTGGTGTGTTTGTGCTCTAAACAAAAGAGGAGCATTTGGTTTCAAATAACTTCAGTCATCTGATTCTTTCTTGGAACAGTACATTAGGAAAGAGAACAATACCATAAGCCCTCATCTGCTACTCAGTGGGTCTCTTAGGCATTTAAGAGATGCCATTCTCCCCTCTGCTCAGCCTCTCACAGAAGGCAATCAGCCCTTGGATTTTATGGAGATAAACCAAGCACAATGACTAGAGAACCAGACCTGGAGTCAGGAAGATTTAAATTCAAATCTGGCCGCAGACACTTATTAGCTGTGTGACCTAGGACATGTCACTTAACCTCTATTTGTTTTAGTTTCCTCAATTATAAAATGGAATAATAATAGCACCTACCTTCCAGGACTGTTGTGAGGATCAAATGAGATAATATTGGTAAAGCACTGAGCATAGTGCCTAGCACATAGTAGGTACTATGTAAATGTTAGTTGTTATCATCATCATCATCATCATTAATATATTATTATTCCAGTTTGTGGATTATTCTAACTCTTAGTTTTCTCTGTTCTTTCAGCTATTTCCCAGCTCATCAGCCAACCCCCTGTGAAGCAACGCCTGTAACTTTCTAATATGTTGTTTAGTTTATCTGAACTTTTCCTTCTTTTTTTCTTCTTTATTTTAAAGGGAAGGATACAGCGGAAAGTGGTGATAGAAAAACAAGATATCTACAAAAATATCTTTTAAAAATAAAAAATAGGAGGAAGAGTTATGACAATGACATTTCCGATGAGGGTTGGAGGAAAGGGTTGGATGGTGTAGAGCAGACTGACAGGTGTTAGAGCATAAAGGGACCTTAGAGATTCTTATAGCTCCAACCCTTCATTTTACAAAGGAGAAATAATAAGGCAAATTACTTATTTGCCCATGGTTATTTAGTTACCTAGTGGAAGAACTAGTACTATTGGCATCAGCACTTAACACAGTGCCTGGCCCATAGTAGGCACTTAACACATATTTAT